GGAGAAATTTCCTGTCAGTTAGAACAATTAATCACTGGAACAACCTGCCTCCAGAAGTTGTGAATGCTCTAAAAGTTGAAGTTTTTAAGAAGAGATTGGACAACCATTTGTCTAAAATGCTATATGGTTTCGTGCCCAAGCAGGGAGATGGACTAAAAGACCTCCAGGGTCCCTTCCATCATCGTTGTTGTTGTTGTTAGAGATAAGATAGATAACATTTATTGTCATTTTTATGCTGTGGGCACAATGGCACATATCAAAAATGAAATTTAGTTGCCGCTCTCAAAGTGAAACATATACATGACACACACCTAAACATACTATGAACAACATATGTATAGACCCATATCCCTACATATACGTAGGAAATAAATATTAAATATTGTCCATATTGTTATTGTTGTTATTACCTCATGAGAACAATGAAATAGTCTGGGATTTTGAATTTACTAAGCATATTTCAAAGTTTGATGTGATTGACATAATTAAAGATTTTTCTATAATCAATGAAGTACATATTAACTTCTTTTTTTATATTCCTTGGCTTTCTTAATTATCCAGTGCACATCAGCAACAATGTTCCTCAGCCTTTTCTAATGCCACCTTGAACATCTGGCACCTCTTTTCCTATGTAGGACTCTAATGTCCATTAGACTATTCTAAGCATTCTTTTGCTAGCATGTAAAATTAAGGATATTTTACAAAAGTTGGCTTTTTTGGTATTGGAATGTAGATTGACCTCTTCCAATCTTTTGGCCGCTGGGTGATTCTCCAGATTTTTCCTCTGCTTCTTGCCATATTTATGTGGGTATTCTATCAGTTCCTATACCCTTCCTAGTCTTCCTACTAGTATTAGAAATTTTGTAAGTAGGGAATATTCTAAAATGTTTTGAATGTTGACATCTCTGCTGTACAGTATTTCAGTATTTCCTTCCATATTTATTTAATTTGCTTTGAATCAGTTACTATCTGTCTGCTGGCATCCTTTATCATACCAATTCAATGTTGGAATTTTCTTTTTTGTTCTGAGATCATTTGGAAGACTTTCCTTGCTTTTCCATGTCTGTTTCCATCTTCAAAGTCTTCCATTTGCTTTTGTAATATTGCTTTTTGTCTTTTCTAACAGATCTCTGAAAATCATTGTTAATTTCCTTTCTGAAATGTTTGTCATTCTTGGCTATAGCCTCTTTTCTCTTCTTGGCAATTTTTATGGTTTGTTCTGACATCCAGTTTGCTTTCTTCTGTTTTTTTCATTTTTGGCAGTCTCTCTTTTCTCATTTTACTCTTAACAGCTTCTTGGAGTTCATTCCACCATTCTCTATCATTGAAGTTCAGGACTTCAAAGTAATTGCTAATTTTCTTTTTGAAAACAGTGGGTAAATGATCAAGATATATTGTAGAAACTTACTGGCTTTCTTCTTTTTCTTTAGCTTAAATTCTTCACTTAATTTTCCCAGATAACAGACAATAATTATTTTAACATACTATCTGGACAAACATTTTGTCTGCTGTATCTGAAATCTGCTAAACTGAGCAGCTATTGTATCTGGAAGGAAAAGGAAGTTGGAAGGATGGCTTTCTTCAAGAACATCTAAATCTTTCCATATTTTTCTGTTGTTGTTACCATAAGATTTCTGCTTTCTGAAGTGGATGGTTTATAACATGAAAGGAAAGTATCATTACAGTACTAGGATGAGGGAAGAAGTATGGTTTTGATTTAAGAGTAAATATATATATTATTATTTTTTTTAAAAAAACCAGTTCATTTTGGTTTTGGAAAATGTACTTAACTATCTGTATTTCATTTTCTTTCCACTTGAAAGCCACGATCAATAAGTATTTCCATACATACAAATAATACCAATTTTGTGCTTTATAGTTTTCAAGTGAAAAAGTTGGTGATAGGCTGGATATAGTGACCATGATCCAGTGCAGAGCCAACTGGGTTGAAGCCCATTAATTCCAACTGCTTACAGATACAATTGAGTGCTGTATTTTGATCCTTGTGTTTACCCTTAGTGGCTGAATAAAAACCATGTCATAGCTAAACACCATTGTCTATTGTATAACAAGAGGGATTTTTGCTTTTTTAAGATGGCTGCTGTACTTTTCCTGGCTTTTCAGAGGGAAGAAAAGATTAGTTTCTAATTGACAAGACAATTTTGAAAAACTGCAGGGGAAAGAAGATCAACTTGATTTAACTTGAAATGATTACAAGAAGGCATTTGACTCTGTGCCACATGATTGGATAATTAGTGCCTAGAAATAACAGGAGTCAATAAAAACATCAGAAGCAAAGATCAATGGAACAATGGAAGATATGGTTGCTGGTCAATAGTGATACACTAGGAGAGGTTAATATCAAGAGAAGAATCTTTCAAGGAAACTCACTATTACCATTACTATTTACCATTATATTGATATCTCTTGATTTAGAACATATCTCTTGAATATTAAACAAACATCAAAAACATCTGCCAGTCTATCCCATCTCCTTTATATGGACAACTGGAAGCTGTACAGAAAGTACCGTCTAAAATAGAATTGATGCTCAACACTGTCCTTATATACAGCCAAGATATTGCAATGGAATTTGGATTGGATAAATGTCCCTCCTTTATCATCAACAGGGAAAATTAGTGAAAATTAAGAAATCAACTCAAGCGGAACTAAAAGCCCTACTTCTAGGAAGACTAAAAAAATAATGTCAGTAAATCATGCCCTTCATTCACACAACGATGTTGACAGACTCTACTTACCAAGTACCTGAAGTGGGCATGGAATGTTGCAAATGCATCAGACAGTTGAAGAATAAAAAATGGCATTGGAAGAATTTCTGAGGGACAGCAATGGAAGATGAACTGAAGCTAGTACACCATGAAGGTTTACTGAGTAATGGAGTGACTACACTGGCCCACAAGAAAGACCAAATGAAGAAAAGAGACATGGCAAGGCAAAGTATTACATGATCAGTACATAAAAAAATAGCAGGCTAATAAGAGGATAACAAGAGGATAAATATGAGGATAACCAGAAGGCATGGCACTGGCAAAGAGAAGGAAAGTTGAAGAAAAAGACAGGCTAATTTTGGTTGCATAAAGCCAAGCCTTCAGAACAAATGCATATAGAACCAAAATTGAAAAGATAGCAACAGACAGCAAATGCCTTCTCTCAAGGAAGCTAAAGAAACAATGGAGCACCTAGTTAATTGTTGCAAGAAGGTTGCACAGATTAACTACAAACAATGCTATGACAAAATAGCAACAACAGCACATTGGACTATCTGCCAGAAATACCAACTGCCTTCAAGCAAAAACTGGTGGGATCACAAAAAAAGTAATAGAAAATGAAGAAGCTAAAATGGTCCTGGACTTTAAAACTCATATAAACAGGCACTTGCTACATTACACCTCAGATTTAACAACTGTTGATAAGAAAGACAAAAAAAGTCTGGATAGTGGACATGGCAGTACCTGGAGACAGCAGAATAAAAGAAAAAGAACTGGAGAAAAATCACAAAATACAAAGACTTGAAAATAGAAGTAGAATAACTGTGGCAAAAAAAGCAAAGATACTACCAATAATATTAGGCCCCTTGGGTGCAACCCTAATATTTCTGTAGCACTTCTTGAACATCACTGGCATTGACAAAATAACCATCAATCAATTGCGAGAGGTAGCTTTACTTGGTGCAGCTTACATCTTGTAATGATAGCTTTAGTACTATCAAACAACAAATCTGCCTACGCCAGGTCCTTGGGAAGGACTTGATAGAAGGACTTGATTGATGGATAAAACTGTCAAATCCAGTCTAAACATGTGGCTGACTGTGTAGCCACCATGATAATAATAATTTCAAGCAGCTGTCATTTCTAGAAATTTTAATTGTGGTATAATTCCTAGAAATAAATACTGATTTATTAAATAAATTCTTGTGCCACCAATCTCTCTTCACACCTGACTCTGCTAATACAATGATCAGCAAGAAGAACTGTTTTTATTAACCTTTCAGTGGAGGCATGTGAAATGTGAAGGAATGGAATGGAAATGGAAAGAATGAAGAAGAAAACAAATTGGAGTGACAGCAACCTCTGGGGCTCATTATATGTACAGGCTGAGGGCCCAGTGTGGCTCCAAAGGTTGTCCATCCCTAGTTATTTTCATAATTGCCAGGCCAAAGTCTTCCTCCTTTCCATATGGAAGTGCCATGATAGCTGGACAATTCAATTGCCAAGGTGAGAGATCTGCTAAGTGTCAAAACATGTTTATGATGACCTCTTGATAAAACTGCAATTTTTCTGTCCAATACAGCAGCAGTAGATATAAGAGCCTCTTCTAGCAATATATTCCAAGTCCCATGGAGTAGAAATAATTTGAACTAATTAAATCCTTAGTCCAATTATTTGTCATTAAGTCACTGCATTATTAAACATGTATTTAGTTTGATGAAAAAATTGATATGAATGTATTTCCTGATTCTTTCATCCCTCTTTCCTTTGAAAACATGGATATTACATTGTAAGTCTGTCAGCCACCTTTTTTTTTTTTTTTAAAAAAAATCTTTTTTAAAAAATGTGCACAATATTTTTTAAATGCAAGTCATGGCAATTATGGAAATAGGTAGTGATGGCCCCAAGTTACACTGAGCCCTCAGCCTGTTCTTAGGATGGTCTCAGAGGTTGCTAGTGTCTTCTAAAAAATTCATGAGAAAAACAAACATGTAAACATAGCTGAATATGCAGCTATGACAGGACACACACACACATTAACATTCTACTACATGATTCATACATTTCCTGACTGTATGTCATAACACAGATATATAAAACTAAAAGCAAGTTTTGGCTGGTTAACACTAACAGTAAAGAGGTTGAATATATACCAGCTGCTTACATCACCTGATCCCCTGTTGCATAATTTCAGTCCATGCATCTAGGAGATGCAAAGAAAGAGTTAATCCCCTAAAGCACACAGACGCACAGGAAGTTTAAGGCGTGACTTTTTTTTTTTAATTTCTATCTGAGATGCAGTTAGACAGCAAATACTTTAGAAAGCTGGATCTGTTTAGGAAACAGTAGATAGATAATGGCTGCCTCCGATTCAAGTTGTCCCGAAGAGCTGGCTGAAGATTTGGCAATTCAGGACCCTGTAGTAAATGGCTCACCAATCTGTGAAGAAAAGTGGGGGAGTAGAGAATTGAAAAATGAAGGGGAACTTCTGATGGGATTTGAAAGCAAAGATCCATGCCAGGCCTGGGAGCCAGGCCTGGGAGACCAACTGTCTGAAAATGAATCATCCAAGGATCACTCACCCAGTATCTTGGCAGAAAGTCCCTCAGAAGTGAAGCAGAAGGAGGAAGAGGTGCTTTGTGATTTCTGCTTGGCAGAGAAAGTGCAGGCAGTAAAATCCTGCTTGACCTGTATGGTAAATTACTGCCAGGAACACTTGAGGCCTCACCTGGAGAATGTCAAACTACAGAGTCATAAGCTTATGGATCCACTAAAGGACATCGACATACAGAGCTGCAAGACCCACAAAAGGCATCTCATCTGGTTCTGCCCCAATGACCTAATCTGTATCTGTGAGGAATGTCTTTCTGATGGACATCAAAACCATCAAGCTGTGATCTGTGAGGTAGCCAGGAAAGAAAAAGAGGTAATGACTGCATATAGGTTTATTGTTAATATGACGTGAAAGAGAATTGCCACAGGCTATTAAGTGCTTGGATATAAGAAGTCAGAGAGCTCTTACTTTCACTCCTAGCCTTTTGCAAGATCATTTGCATGGCCATTAGGGACTAGGTCACACTGACTTTCTGTATTGATTCTTGGATTGTAGCTTAGCAGAACATGTGAATCTAAGTACTAATTTATGCATTTTATGCAGCATTATGTATAAATCCTGTGACTTATTCCATGAACCATGCCTTAACATGCACTTAAGCTTGTTCCTAAATGAACATGATATATAACTGCGTTATACTGGGATTTCATGAATTTGCAAGTGGGGTATTATGAAATAAAAGCTTCCTTGTGAAAGAGGATTGGGGGTTTTCAATAGGGAGAAATCCTGATGAGCAAAAGGACTTTCCTATTTTCTATGAGAAGCTGACTGTCATGTGACCACTGCCACACTGCTTGTTTTTCTAATAACCTGTGAAGAGGCTCAGCTACACTAGCTTTATGTGGAAGAAAGGAATTGTAGAAATTCAGGAGGCCCAGAAAGGCCTGAAGTTCGGCCTTAGACTTTGGCCTAGGTGCTTCTAAAATGGCAGTTAGTTTGGATTCAGCAGGGTGAATCCCAGCAGCATCAATTTTGAACCCCAGAAATTCAGTAGAAGGCACCCCAATTTTGCATTTGTCCTTTTGAGCTTGAGGCCTGTTTTCCTGAATCTTAACAGAACAGCCCTTAGCCTTTCAGCTAGAATGTGTGTGGAGTCTCCTGCAATTAAGACATCATCAAAGTAGGGGCAAACCCCCGGTATACCCCGTAGTGTGTTTTCCATTACGCTTTGGAAAATCCCAGGAGCGACATTCACTCCGAACTGTAGCCTTTTTACCTTAAAGGCCCCTCGGTGGGTCACAATAGTCTGAGCTATGGCAGCATCATCATCAACAGGCAGCTGTTTATATGCTTGAGCTAGGTCAAGCTTTGCAAAAACACGCCCCCCCTTGAGGGAGGCCAGAATATGACTGACCACAGGAACAGGATAGGCATGTTGCTGCAATGCCTTATTAAGAGTGCATTTGTAATCAGTACAAATGCGAATGTCCCCATTTGCCTTTAGAGGCGTGACAATGGGGGTCTCCCAAGGACTGGAATCAACGAGTTCTAGAATTCCCTGTTGGATCAGTTTGTCCAACTCAGTGTCAATTTTACTCTTTAAAGCAAAAGGGACCCTTCTTGCTTTAATTCTAATGGGAGTGACAGTGGGGTCTAGTTTTAAGGACACAGGGGGTCCCTTGAATGTGCCCAGTTGGGGGCTGAATACATCTGCAAATTCTTTGCAGACTTCCTGTAGGTCGAGTGTTTGTAAGCTGTTGAGCCCCGTGACGTGTATCCCCAAGGCTTCAAACCAATCGAGTCCTATGAGACTCGTTCGTTCACCCCCTACTACTAATAGGTCTAGTGGACCTTCAAAATTCTTATACTGTACATTAAGGGTGGCCTCCCCCTTAACACACACTCTCGAATTTTGAAAGTCTGTTAACACAATGTCAGAAGGCCTTAATTTAGCCTGAGTTCCACTGCCGGAACAAATCTTCCTAAATGTATGCAAGGATATGATTGAAAGGGCAGACCCCGTGTCTAGTTCCATAGTTAATGGAACCCCTTGTAGCTTCACCTTGAGTGACAGCTTTTTCTTGATGGACTTGTGTGTGCCTGTCCTGAAGATGCTCCTTCGCGAAGCGCAAAAACCTACCCTATTCTGGCTGGAGACCCTGGTACCTTTCAGGCGCAGTTCTTCCTGAGGTTGTACCTTTCATCAGCCCAGACACACAGCTGCAATATGTCCTTGTTTCCCGCATGCCCGGCAGATAGCGGAGCGGAACTTGCAGTCGGTTCTCCTGTGGTGACCTCCACAGCCGATGCACTTGAGGGGAGCTGAAGAGCTTCCTTTCTGATTTCCTTCCTTCGTGGGGTGGAGACGGTCGACTTCCTCGTCCGGATCCTCCTCGGAGTTCCCTTGGACGTCCTCTTGGTGCACGGATGCAACATCTGGACTGTTCTTGATCGGCTGCATGTTCTTGACGGCGCTGCCTGCTGCTTCTTCTGCGGTGACCTCTCTTAAGGCATCTTGGAAGGACAAGTCTTCTTTGGCGAAAAGCCTCTGTTGTAGATCTCGATGCCTTAACCCGCACACGAATCGGTCCCTCAGTCGTTCTTCGAGGTCCTTGAACTCACAGTGCTTGGCGGCCTTCCTCAATGTGGCGATGTACTCTTTGGCCGACTCTCCAGATTGTTGATCCCTCTGCTCGAAGGTGTGGCGCCATGTGATGACGGACATCTTGGGCTGGAAGTGCTCCTTCAGTAGCTTCTTTAGATCTGCGTAGCTGACAGACTCTAATGGAACAGGTGCTGCAAGGTTCTCTGCAATTTCGAAGGCGTCTTGACCGCAGACACAAAACAGGGTGGCAGCCTTCAACCTATCTTCCCTCACTTGGTTCACCTTGAGGTAGTTTTCCACCCTGGCTACGTAGGACTCCCACCGCTCTGGATGTGAGACGTCGAATTCCGAAAGCCTTCCAACCTTTGCCATCTTCAGGAGACGGGTCTATCAGCCAGCCTACCCCCGAATGCGCACTGGATTGGCAGGTAGCTGCCGAGTCAACGCCGTTCCGCCGCTCAGGACTCACTTGGGTAAGCTTACACCTCTTCCTTTTCAGTCGATGTAAGGCATCCCACCCTCGTCACCAGTGTTGAGTCCTTCGCGAAAGGCAAGACACGAGAAGCAGTTGTAGTTCTCAAGTTTTCTTTTATTCTGTGTTCAGCTTACAGATGAAGGCTTCAGCAACGCCCAAAAGCTCCCAGCCTCTTATATAGGCATTTCCCGGGTCGATGTGTTACTTTTCCTGCGCCAGCACCCGCGCATGCGCACAGGCGCTGGCGACAGCCTGTCTGGTCCCGGGCAGCTTGCACCTGCCCGGGACTGCCTGCAAACGCCCCGAGCCCATTTGCAAGGCTCGGGACATAACAGTTTTGATAACTGGTTATCAAAATGGTTATGACTCATATTTTAGGTGGAAAAATCAGGCATTTATAGCTCTTATGAATGAATTTCTTTTCTTGGTGTGAAATTATTTACTACTTTTTTTGATAATCTTCCTGTTCTGCAGGATAAAATTAATAGTACCAGTTATTTTGTACTAAACAGAGTTGTGTGATATTCACTGTTGTTTCTCCACTTTATGCCTTAATCTCTCTTCTTTACTAACTTTCACTCCCAGGGAGTAAAACCTGACAGGAAATTGGAATCCCTTTGGAACAGAATTTTGTTTCATTTTGATTATGCTTATTTAAAAGTGTAATCTATTCCAAATGTAAAAAATTAAGACAGGTAAAATGTAACATCATTGCATTGTGTTGGTTACAACATGTCACAGAATAAAGACCTTCAACCTATTCTTCTTCCTGGGAGCTTCTCGTGTATATCTGGAAAGGAGCAATTACTCATACTTAACATATTAGGCTGAGTGAATCACAGTAAAATCAACTGGAAGAAGAAAAAATGGGAGGGAAAAAAAAACAAGAAAAAAAAACAAGAAAAGCCACAGGACCTGATGATATCCCAGTAGAAATTTTAAAATTGCTGGAAGACAATGGGAAGAATTTTTTACTGCAGCTCTTCAATCGGATATATAAAGCAAGAAAGATACCAAATGATTAGCTAAAATCAACCTTTTTTGACAATCTACCCCCCAAAAAGGCAAAGAAGTGTACCGAATACAGAACAATAAGCTTAATGAGTCATGCCCTGAAATATTCCTAAGAATAATTCACGCAAGAATATACAACAAAATTGAAGAGCGTCTAGGTAACACACAATTTGGTTTCAGAAACAATCTTGATACATAAGATGCGCTATTCAGCATTCAAGTTCTTGTACAGCGTTGTAGAGATGTCAGTCACAGTGTTTACATGTGCTTCATTGATTTTGAAAAAGCTTTTGATAAAATAAGACACAGCAAACTATTAGAAATCCTGAAACAAGGGGGACTAGATGACAAAGACATCCAAATCATAAAGAATCTGTATTGGCATCAGGTAGCAAATGAAAGACTAGGCCAAAAATACTCAGCTGATGCAGAAATAAGAAGAGGGATCAGACAGGGATGTATTCTGTCCACTGTTGTTCAATATCTACTCTGAGTCAATCTTCAATGAGGCACTGGAGAATATCGATGCTGGTAAACGGTGTTTGGATCAACAACTTAAGATATGCTGATGATACAGTTCTGCTTGCCAGTAAGCATGAAGACCTTCAGCTCCTCATCAACAGAGTCACAGAAATATCTGAAAAATACGGCTTGAAGCTTAACACCTCAAAAACCAAGATCATGGTCATCAACAAGCAACCCATTAATTTACCACCAATAAATTCAGAAGGAATACCATTAGAAAAAGTTGAAAGGATCACACATCTCGGTTCTAATCTACATGAAAGCTGGGACATGACCACTGAAGTAAAGACAAGGTTAGAGAAAGCTTGAATAGCATTCTTCAAAATGAAAAAGGTCTTCTGCAGTCACGACATAAGCCTAAGACTGAAAATCAGGCTTGTCAGATGCTATATTTTTTCTATCCTGCTCTATGGAGTAGAGAGTTGGTCTCTGACAGTAGCCACCTGAAGAGACTAGAAACATTTGAAATGTGGATTTACAGGTGGCTGTTATGTATAAGCTGGGTTGACAAGATCAGAAATGAGGAGGTGATAAGCCACCTGGGAAAACCAAGGGAAATCATCAAAACAATTAAAAAATGAAAATTAGAATATTTTGGACAGAAAAATATGGCATATTCCATTTAATCCTCCAGGGAAAGATTGAAGGCAAACGAGGTCCAGGCAGAAGAAGAACAAAATCTAAGGGACTGGTTTGGACAAAACTCAGCAGCACTTTTTCGTGTAGCTGCTGGTAAAAACAGGATCGCCAACA